TGGTTGAAAACGGACGTCGTTTGACGTGGTTCAGACCTAAATTGATAAATTTGATACTTGATGAAGTTTGAGAAAACGTTCTTGATTTTGAGGTTTGATTCATTGTTATTGAGGTTATTTTGGCGATTTGATCGCACGGATAAGTAAGTATGATGTTGTTGAGTTAGTACGTGTGTTTGATTAGGAGCCCCGAGGGCTCGAGTGTGTTTCGGATGTGTTTCGGCAAGTTTTAAACTTAGGAAAAAGTTGCAGATTTAGAGAAGTTGTAGGTCTTTGAAGCCAGATCTCGCGGTCTGCGGTGGAAACTTCGCGGCCGCGGTGGGGACTCTGCGACCGCGGTGGGATTTGTGCGGTCCGCAATGAGCAAGGCCAAGCCTCCGCGGTCGCGCTCAATTTCTTGCGGTCCGCGGTGAAGCTCCGCGGCTGCAGCCCTTTTATATGGTCCGCAGTGGACCTCCGCGGCCGCAGTCCTTTTTATGCGGTCCGCAGTGAGGGTCTGAGAGGAGTATATTTAAATGGACTTTTCAGTTATTTTTCACTTTTCATAACCCCAAAAACATAAGAGGCGATTTTTCAAATAACCTTTCTTCACCAAATCAATTGTAAGTCATTTCTAACTAGTTTTCTTCAATCATTAACATCTTTTAACATGATTTCAACTTCTAATCAATTATTTTCATGGAGGGAAATTGAGTGTTTTGGGTAGAACCTAGGTTTTTCAAAAATTGGGGATTTGGACCTCGATTTAAGATCTGATTTCAAAACAAATCATATATTTGGGTTCTTGTGTAAATGGGTAATCGGGTTTTGGTCCGAATTTCGGGTTTGGATGAAGCAGGCCCGGGGGCGATTTTTGACTTTTTGGGGAAATCTTTATAAAACCTATTTTCATGAATTGGAATTCATTTATTTAGCATTTATTGATATCGTTAAGCGAATTGTGGCTAGATACAAGCGAGTTGGTGGTGGAAACAAGAGGTAAAGCAGTAGTTGAGGCTTGAATTGTGTTCGTTGCATCGAGGTAAGTGTTTGGTCTAACCTTAGCTTGAGGGATTAGGAGTTGTGTCCTATTTTCTATTTACTTCTTGTCGAGTATGACGTACAGGCATGGTGACGAGTATATATACGTTGGTGTCAAGCATGACCGTGAGTCTTATATTGTGATTTTCATGATTTCGTTGTATTATTCATGCCTTGGTGAAGATTTCTAATTGTTGTATAACGTTTGTGGAAAGAATTGTGACCTATGAACATTGAGGAGCGTTGGCTCAAGTTGTATAGAGAAATTGTGAAAGTATAAGTGACAATTGAACTTTTAGAGCATTGGCTCGAGTTGTGAAATAGATTGTGAAAGTATAAGTGATAATCGAACCTCTAGAGCATTGGCTCGAGTTGTGAAGTAAATTATGAAGTAAAATTGAGAAAGAGAATAGATCATTAATTTGTCACCCTTGCCGGGCTATTATTGATTATTTGTTGTTTCCTTGCCAGGATTTAATTGTTTAATTATTGTTCCCTTGTCGGGATTTAACTGTTTAACTGTTGTTCCCTTGCTGGGATCTTTATTACTATTTTGTTTATTCACTTGCCCCTTTGCTTGTGATTGTTGTTTGGGTGAGGAAGAGTGTTAAAGCACGAAGGGTGATACCGTGCATTATTTGTTATTGTGAGGAAAGAGTATAAAGCACGAAGGGTGATGCCATGCCGCACGACGTACCATACCGTGCCGAATCTATCGATTATATAGTGAGGAAAGAGAGTAAAAGCACGAAGGGTGATGTCGTACACATTTTGATTATATGATTGTTTTGGTGAGGACGAGAGTAAAAGAACGAAGGGTGATGTCGTACACATTTTGATTATATGATTGTTTTGGTGAGGACGAGAGTAAAAGAACGAAGGGTGATGTCGTGCACATTTTTATTATGTAACTGCTTTGGTGAGGCTGAGAGTAAAAGCACGAAGGGTGATGTCGTGCAAATTGTTGACTTCTGCTTCCTTGTTGATATTCTAGTTATGTTGTTTCTTTCCTTACCTGATGCCTTTTTATTCGAAGCTAATATCTCCCCCACAACATGTTTCCCCCTCCCACATTGACTGGTTATTTCTGTATTTCTTTTCCGCTGTATATA